ATAGTAATTTACAGAGCTGGGATTGGAACCCAGGCAGCCTGCCTCCAGCTATGCTCTTACTCACTATGCTAAGTCACCCTATACTGCTTCTATGAAACAAGAGAAAACTAGACAAATAAATCTATACCAATTGGGAAAAGGACGATGAAAAATACTTACAGAATTTGAGAGGTAAAAAGGGGGGAAGTGAGGCAGATGAACTAAATGGGAGATCAAGGCCACTTAGAGAGCCACAAGAGTTTCACGGGCCACTTGGAGCTGGACAAAAATGCTCTCCTCTAATTTAAAGAATAGAGGCAGCTGAAAAAATCCAGGAATTATGAAGAACCAGTTCTTGGCAGTTTTTGTATATAAAGTTTTTCCTTTATTACGTAAAAATAAAATAATGCAAGATTAATAAAAACAAAACCCCATAATACCATTAACATGACAGTTTTTATATCACTGTGTGAACTTTACTGGCTAGTAAGCAGATATGCTTAATAAATCAAAGTAAACAGTTTCACACTAGGCAGGCTGAGTGCAATGACCTACCTAATATCATCCCCAGGGAAGCATTTAGAGGCCACTATAGATGACTCAGTTCCCATAAAGATGGGATATGTGTGGATGGAGGCAAAAGAAGCCTTCAGGATCTCTTGTGTATAATCACAGAATGCCAATGCCACTCCAAGCGTAACCTCATCTCACTGAAACAGACACGGAGTCTTATGGAGCAGAAATGACTTGGATGAAGATGCTCTGATCAGCTCCAAGTCCAGTACTCTTCCACTCCTACAGGTTTCCTTGTAACCATCCCGGGAAAACGAGACAACACTGGTATCAAAGACCTTCAGAGCACACCTACACTAGAGGGAAAAGAATTCCTTGATCACAACTTCTTGCTGCTGTTCAGTCTCGCTTTTCCTCCCTAGGACCCAAGAGATGTCTAGAAAACGGTGGGAAACATGATCCGAATTACTGTTCCTAAAATTTGCAAAGTATCAAATGAACGGGGCAACAGATTGTCATGCCTTATATTCTAGGCTGGGGCGAAATGCAGGGAATTCAGTTCCCTGCTGGGCTGGGAGCCGGCCCCACCGGCTATCCTAGGAAACTTGGGCCCACCAGCAAGGCGCGGGTAAGGCTGAACCGCCAGGCTGCCAGGCCAAGGCGAGTCACCTGCCGAGGCGCCAGGGATTCGCGGAAGCCCGGCCGGCCGGGAGCAGCGAACCCCGGGGACCCCAGCGCGTGGGGATGCAGGGGCGGGCCCAGGAGCTTCTTCCCAACCCCGCGGGTCTCCAGCCGCTTCAAAGCCGCCCCGCCCAGCCGGTCGCAGCTCCCTTGCGCCACGAAGCCCCACCTTCCACCCAGCTACCGGGCGCGGTCACGTGAGGCGTGCCGGGGGAACCAATGAGCCGCTCGCTCGGAATGGAAGGGATTGTCTGACCCCCATGACGTCACAAAGCTGGCTGGGAGCGCGCGGCTCTTCCGCCCCCCCTCCTCGACTCAGGCCTGGCCCTCACTTCTCTTCCCCGCCCACCCTCCTGGGCGCAGCCAATCGGGAGGCGGGAAGTGCTTCGGCCCGGACGTTCGGGCGGGGCAGGGTGGCGGCCCGGCGGGGCAGGGAGTGGGCCAGCTGGGGGCCAGGGGCTGCACTCCAGGGAGTTACGCTGGGCGGCTTGGAGGGAGCGCTTAGCGGTGCCACTACTGCTGCGGCCGCTTCCTCGTCGGGAAGAAGCGACTCCTCCCCTGTGTGCCCGGTTCGTATTCCCTTCCCTGCCCCATGCCCGAGCCACCCAGTCCGGAATCCTCCTCTACGCGCCCAAAGTTGTGAGGAGGTTGCCCGGCACGCGTGGGGAGCGACGGCCGCGGGCGTGCAGAGGGTTGGCGAGCGGTGGCCCGGGCGGAGGAGGGACGAGCCCCGGAGCGCTAGGTGCGCGCGGGGGCGTCGGGGCTACGGGCGGGCGTGGCGGCGCCGAGGGGCCGCCGCGGGCTCTGGGTGGGGGGCGGGCCGGCCGCCGCCGCTGTCAGCGCCGTGGACGCCGTGGAGAACCTAACGCGAGTGCGAGCTCCGAGGAGGTGCGGCGCCAGCTGTATGGCGTCTCTGCCTGAGGGTCCCCCGTACGCACCCCGGAGTCTGGGGTGATCCCCCGGCAGCCTGCCGCGGGCCGACCCCTGCCTTAGGCTTCTGGACCGAAGCCGGCGCTGCGTGGGCCGGGCGGGGTGGGCAGCGGGCGGAGGATGCCGGGGGCCGGTGGGCTCCGCGCCCGGGCTGGATGGAGGGACCGGTCCCGGGGCGCGCCTCTGCTCGCGGCTGAGTCCCCGCCGCCTCGGGCTCCGTTCCTGCCTCTCCAGTGGGGTGGGTTTGTTTGTTTGGTTTCCTTCTTCTCCCCACCCCTTTCTCCCTGCTCCATCCTTTTCCCCCCTCCCTGCCCCACACACGGGGCTGGAGCGAGAGCTCGCCCCTCCTCCGTGCCCGCCTCCCCCGCCGCCGCCTCCTCTAATGAGCATCTCTGCCTTGCTTTCAATGGGCCGGTGCTGCTGTCGCTGCTGCTGTCCGCGCGGGTTGTGGATGTTGTCGGCTCCGTGTTGTGATGACAGGAGAATGTGTGTGTGTCCCGGGCCCAGACGAATTGGTAGGTATTCACTTAACTACCTGCGTTGGGTACCCAGAAAGGATGGTGACTGATTTTGTGTGTGGATGGTTTTAGCTGGGTCGCCGTGGAATTAGGGGTGAGGTAGATAGAAAAAGGGAACAAAGGCGTCCTGGACCCGGATAGCTTTGATACCTTAGTGCAGCTTTCAGGTAGGGACAAAGGAAACTAATCAAACAAGTGCTGGCTTGGGGCGTCGTGTCTTCTGAGGGAAGCCGGTTTCTTCATTCATGTAGAGATAACAGGAGCTGTGAAATGGCTAGCATTTCCAGAAAATGCTGAAAAATTGTGAAGTCTTTATACAGGGTGTTTAATGCAATTGGATTACATAAACTGAGGTTCTGACACGTTGAATGACGAGTATAGCTTTTTTTTTTTTTTTCATTTACACCAAAAGCTTTGAAAGCTAAAGAGCTCCGGAGTCGGTGCAGTATAACAGCATTTTCTAATTAATATGGTCCGTGGGTTTATTGAATGAAGTAGAATCGTTTCTTGGCACAGGCTCTGTCGAGCCCATCAGTAAGAATGGATGGGTCTGTCTCCTGTTTCGGGTTGCAGTGCATCTTTTCTTACTAGTCATTGGCAAAATGGGTCAAATTTGCCTAGGACTGAGATACTGCATATAACGTGGAGCAGGGATAGGAACTTTTCAGTGAAACTGTGGTCAGAAATCACTTGAAAATGTGACAGTCCTCCAGTTTACCAACACTGTACCTTGTTGCTGTTCTTAATTGCCTAATCAAGAGCTTTCTACTTCATTAGTTTAGTGAGTTTGTCAGCAAAAGTTTTGATCTCATGGGGTTTTGTTGTTGTTGAATCACAGGATATTCAGAAAGATACTCAGAGTTTTTGAATGCTCACTTACGGTTTGAAAAAGCATTTGCAAGCACTTTGGCTTGTGAGGATATCTGGTCTGATGGAGAGACTATGTCATGTGTACTGGTGATGATACAACACTCATGAATCACAGAGCAGGGTTTTCATGAATTCCATATTCTCTAAGAATTTGTCTTTTGAAGGTATGCTGGGAGTTGGGGTATTGGGATACATTCTCAGTCCATATGCTAAGCTCCTGAAAAACTGAAAGGTACAGTCGATAAACTCCACTCTGCTTTTTTTTTTTTTTTTTAATCTCAAGAACTTTCGCCTCGAAGGAAAAATGTAGTATGTTATCTGAATATTGCAGTGTTTGCTGTTTGATTTTACATATTATTCAAAGCATCTGCTGCATGAATCAGTTCTTTTGCCACAATATTTCATTCATTTTGCAATCAACTACAAAAGCAGAAAAATTGTCAAAACGGAGGAATTTAAGGAAAGTGCAGATTTCTTGGACTTGTTATTCCTTGGTTAGACATACAACGAAATCCTGCTGCTCATCTATCAAACCCCCCTTGCAAACACATACACACACACACGCACAAAGTAGTACTTTGATTTGGTCTGCATTCCATACAGAAGCAAACATTTCTTCTTCCTATAAAAGTCTTAAGTTTTAAAGTAAGCACAAATACAAACTTATCTAAAGTTATGGAGAGGGGTGCCTGGCTGGCTCAGTCGGTGGAGCAAGTGACTCTTGATCTCGGGGTTGTGAGTTCAAGCCCCAGGCTGAGTGTAGAGATTACTTAAAAATAAGATCTTAAAAAAATAATAAAATTATGGAGAAAATTTCTCTTAAAATGGTCATCTGCTTATATTTTTAATAATAGAAAATCTTTGTACAAAGCATGAAATGAGTTAATGTGCTTTCTGCATGCAAATCTAACAAGGTACGGTTTATGTCTGGGAGCCAGAGTCATGTGGCACAACATTTGAGCACATCTCCTGGCTCAATCATGTACCCTTAACCTTTGGATGACTTTCAGGTATTTAGTTTAAAGTGCAGAGATTTATATGGTTAGTCTTGATAGATTCCTGTTCATCTGGAATTTCTTTTTTTCATTATGGCATTTCAGAATGCTTATTTAGTTATTGATCTTCTTTCCAAAATTCTAATCATTGCCTTCTGTTGTATAATCTTATCTTCAGTTTTTAAAACAAATCCCTTCTGAAATAGTGCATTTAAAATAATGGTGCTTTCTATCACTTGCAAAAGGGGTTCTGTATGCCCAGCTTATGCAGTGCTCATTACAGAAGCAAACAAGAATAAGTTATTATTCGGTGTTTGGTTTTCTCTGCTCTCACGCATCCCACTTATCACTTCTCCAATTACTCTTCAAAAGAGGGTACCTGAAAATAATGTAATATATAGCTAACAATCTCTGATACTTGTAAATTGTTTTTCCTTAATGGGTTCAACCTTAAGAAGGAATTGCTGACATTAAAACCCACATGGTTTTGTTTTCTGTATTATTTTTTGTTTACTGCATTTGTTTCCTTCTTTAACTCTAAAGTCTATTTCTTTATAGGCCAAATGAGTTATTTGAAGCAATACCTCAACAATTCAGGGAAAATAAATGTTAGAAGGAAGAAAGTTTTTTTTCCCTTGCATAAATTATCTGGATTAATGATGTACATTCAATAAATTTTCTAGATAAATGTCCAGCAAAATATTTTCAGTGTCACACAGTGTCAGTGATTTTTATTTGGATTCATATGTGTACCTTTTCTATACAAACCTTAGACTATTAGACTATTATTTCACTATTCTTTATTGCTTCCTTAAGGCAAATACATACTTTTATTTTAAATGTAAGAGAAAATATTTTTCTAGGGATTGAATTCTACCTCGATCCATAATGGATGAAAATAGTGTTTCTGTAGCTTTCCCTTCTGGCTGATTAGCAGGGGAAAATGCTAGCAAGTAAATTAAATTACAGAACTGAGACCATTTACTTTACTAACAAAGCCTTAGAGCTACTAGCGTACTTAAACTTCTTTTTATCACAAAGCGTACAGTGATTAAACAACGAATAAATGAAACCTGCATTTGATTTCAAAGCCTCACTGCAACAAACACTTATAAAGGCATAGAGACCCAGAAGAGGCCTTCGGTAGCATCTGCTTCTGTGTGTTCACTTACAACCTAGGGAAGTGAGGCCCAAAGAGGTAAGCTCACATTTCTAGGATTATTTGGCAAGTTGGTGGCAGACCTATGTCCCTGAGCTCACCAAATTGGCGCAGTGGTCTAGAGAAGCGTAGTTTGCAAGACCGTCCACTGGGGCGCAGGAAAGGAACACTGGCATTTCTCTTTTTATTCATCATGTAATTTTTTCCCCTATATCTGCTGCATATATATGTCCATACTATATATGAACATAATATTAATTTGGTAGTGTGTGCATATAACTTACCAAAGAATTCATGAGCATACATATGTCGGGGATGTATTCTGACACCATTTTGGTGGTAATCATGTGTAATCAAATGTTACCATTGACCACAAATCTGGAAACAGGATTTTCGTCATGGGAGATCCAGGGCCTTTTTAAGGATAGAGAGGGAGAAGAGTGGTTGGCCAGGTAGACTGCCACTGCATAATGTTATATAATCTTCGTCTCCTCAGCTTTTTCCCAGCCAGATCTGTTGTATGTTCTGCACAGTCTGTGCTGCAGAAGGAAATGCGAGGAAAAGAGAGAAGTAAAGCTAGACTCTAGTCTTGGCTCTATAAGTGATTAAGAATTGGGCTTAGCAGAATATACCCTGTGGAAGTAGTACAGGAGAGGTGTATAAAATACAGTGCTTTCTAGCGCCGGGCTTAGCGTGTAGATTCACCTGCTAAATATTTGTTCTCAAAGCAGAGATGGATGAAGTGATCTGAAATGTAACTCTTCTCTCTGTGTGTGTCTGTATAATTGCTGTCTAGGAATCCCCGTCAGAAGTGCCAGCCTGCCGCTGTTCTCTGATGCCATGCCAGCACCAACTCAACTGTTTTTCCCTCTGATCCGTAACTGTGAACTGAGCAGAATCTATGGCACCGCGTGTTACTGCCACCAGAAACACCTCTGCTGTTCGTCGCCCTACGTTCCTCAGAGTCGCCTGCGATACGCACCCCACCCAGCCTATGCCACCTTTTGCAGGCCGAAGGAGAGCTGGTGGCAGTACAACACCCAGGGAAGGAGATACGCCTCCACGCCGCAGAGATTTTACCTCACACCCCCGCAGGTCAACAGCATCCTGAAAGCCAACGAATACAGCTTCAAAGTGCCAGAATTCGATGGCAAAAACGTCAGTTCCGTCCTTGGATTTGACAGCAATCAGCTGCCTGCAAATGCACCCATCGAGGACCGGAGAAGTGCAGCTACTTGCTTGCAGACCAGAGGGATGCTCTTGGGGGTTTTTGACGGCCATGCCGGCTGTGCTTGTTCCCAGGCAGTCAGTGAGAGACTCTTTTATTACATTGCCGTCTCCTTGTTGCCCCATGAGACTTTGCTAGAGATTGAAAATGCAGTCGAGAGTGGCCGGGCACTGCTGCCCATTCTCCAGTGGCACAAGCACCCCAATGATTACTTCAGTAAGGAGGCGTCCAAATTGTATTTCAACAGCTTAAGGACTTACTGGCAAGAACTTATAGACCTCAACACTGGGGAGTCTACTGATATTGATGTGAAGGAGGCTTTAATTAATGCTTTCAAGAGGCTTGACAATGACATCTCTTTGGAGGCTCAAGTCGGTGATCCCAATTCTTTTCTCAATTACTTGGTGCTTCGAGTGGCATTTTCTGGGGCCACTGCTTGTGTGGCCCATGTAGATGGCGTCGACCTTCACGTGGCCAATACCGGCGATAGCAGAGCCATGCTGGGTGTGCAGGAAGAGGACGGCTCTTGGTCGGCAGTCACTCTCTCAAATGACCACAATGCTCAGAATGAAAGAGAACTGGAACGGCTGAAATTGGAGCACCCAAAGAATGAGGCCAAGAGCGTGGTGAAACAGGATCGGCTGCTTGGCTTGCTGATGCCTTTTAGGGCTTTTGGAGACGTAAAGTTCAAATGGAGCATTGACCTTCAAAAGAGAGTGATAGAATCAGGCCCAGACCAGTTGAATGACAATGAATATACCAAGTTTATCCCTCCTAATTATTATACACCTCCTTATCTCACTGCTGAGCCAGAGGTGACTTATCACCGATTAAGGCCACAGGATAAGTTTCTGGTGTTGGCTACTGATGGGTTGTGGGAGACGATGCATAGGCAGGATGTGGTTAGGATTGTGGGTGAGTACCTGACGGGCATGCATCACCAACAGCCAATAGCTGTTGGCGGCTACAAGGTGACTCTAGGACAGATGCATGGCCTTTTAACAGAAAGGAGAGCCAAGATGTCCTCGGTATTCGAGGATCAGAATGCAGCAACCCATCTCATTCGTCACGCGGTGGGCAACAACGAGTTTGGAGCTGTAGACCACGAGCGCCTCTCCAAAATGCTCAGTCTTCCTGAGGAGCTTGCTCGGATGTACAGAGACGACATAACAATCATCGTGGTTCAGTTCAATTCTCATGTTGTAGGGGCATATCAAAACCAGGAATAGTGGGTGGGTCTTACCCTGGCAATTTTCAAATGAAACAGATTTAAGGGGCAGATAGATTTGTGAAAGATACTAATATAATAAGGGTTTCCAGTAGGTCACTAAACATTTACCCATTGATACTCTAGCTGGTCAACTCCTCCAAATTGACTTTGCGGCAGGGTGGCAGGATCACGAGGGTCTCATTCTGCCTAGCTCGGACCTCACGGCACCTGTGATTGAGGCGAGTCCGTTCCTTGTTGCAAATGTCTCATGACATTGGCTTCTTTTATCGATCTGAGAAAATCAAGATGACCTGGCAAGTAGGATCTTGAATAGGCCAAAAGCCAGGATCTTGCTGGGCGTATTCTCTTGGTAAAAGGGAAGAAACATTCTGTTCACACCTGCAGACCCTTCTCGTCACTAAGATTCCAATGTACATGAGAATGTTTATTTATTGCATGACTTCCTAGATATACAAACTATGCATTATTCATATAAATTTATTTTAGCCTGAAGTGGTTTTCAAATCCAGTACTTAAGCCATAAATGACTGAGAACCAAGCAGTCTGAATTTGTAAGTGTTTGTGATTATTTGACTGGAATGCTTCTTAAATGGAAAAACAAACTACTCCCTTCACCACCCCTGGTTACCTAATGTAATTGAAACTTTTTCTGTTTTGCCACATGCTTGAACACAGTGTTTTTAGTTTGGTCCACTCTTAGATTGATGTTAAATGAAGAAAAAAGAATTATTTTTTTAGTTTGTATTGATGAAATGATTTCATTTAGTTTGAAATAAAAAGATCCAGAATAAAAAGAAGAGACTGTTCAATTATTGTCATCTGTAGCCACCAAGCACATCATGCTTATCTCGTAATCCCCACAGGCTTAGCATGCTGTGTGTGGTGGGTAGACTGTTCAGGAGATCATCCTTCCAGTTTAGTCGTGATAAGAATGTTCTGCACTTTTTGGAATTAAGTTTAAATATCAAATTGGGGAGTAAGATTTAATATTACTTTTGGTTATTGAGACCAGGGAGGGAGTTTTTGTTTTTCTCCATGTAGACATAGGTCAGTTAAAATATTTGGTTTAAAAATCACTAAATGCTTTAAACATGTTGTAGCTTATAAATAGGAATTTAAGATATATACGTGAGAAATTTTCAAAGGTAACTGTTGTGCATGCCTGATGCTTAATAGAACACGTAGTAGCATCAAGTGTTGTTTGCAGCAGTCCCTGTAATTATATGCAGTCCCTTCTAATGCTGTATCAAAATAAATGAAAATAAACATTCAGATTGGCTTTTGGGGAGCTTTTTAATATGCATCAACGGCATTTGTTCCTGTATTTAATGGTGATCTGTGTACAGCTGCGCATATATTTTCATCACTTATTCTAGCATCACTGGTAAAAGAATGGCTATGACTATGTTTGATATTCACATAGATTTTAATACAACTCATGATCAGCTTTCCCTCGTGTAATCAGTTGAGGGGTGTTTAGGAGTCCTTCTGATTTCTGTAGAATATGAACTGGTTGTTCAAGGACTCCCTCTGGATTGTGGACACTAAAGCAATGTAGAACTGACTAAAACTTGTTCCAGTTGAAAAACAGACTCAGGAAGATTGTAGTTCAGAGCATCGTATAATGTTTATTTTCTGAGGGTTTTTTTTTCCCCCCATCTTTCCCCCTTAATTCAGCTTGGAACTTTTCTTCCAGGCAGCATCTTGGAAAAGGAAAGGCTCTACCATATATTTATTTCTAAATGTTTTGACAGAGATGTCATCTTTTTAATGAAATATATGTAGACTGCTGTAGCAATGAAAACCCATTTCCAGGGGCACCTGGGTGGCTCAGTCGGTTAAGTGTCTGGCTTCAGCTCAGGTTATGATCTCTCAGTTCATGGGTTCGAGTCCCACATCGGGCCCTGTGCTGACAGTGTGGAGCCTGCTTTGGACTCTGTGCCTCCCTCTCTCTCTGCCCCTCCCCCCACCTCTCTCTCTCTCTCAAAAATAAACATTAAGAAAAAAAAAACACCATTTTCAGGCTACTATTTGAATTTCTCTTGAACACCTCTACTGAAGAGTTACATATATATACTTAATAGTCTCGTCTCTATTTAGTACAGTATGTATAAATTTAGTTTCCAGTGGTCACAATCAAGATAGTAATTCTTATTTCTTGCACAAGAAACTTGGTCTGCAGTCTAAAAGTTGGTCTACTCTTTAGAAATGAAAATGCAGTGTGGAAATGAAAATAAGTGGATGTTAGATATCCGAATGTACTATCATCTAAAAGCAGTTGTAATTTTATTGTAATTGGCTGTCACTGTGATGTGATATTTAAAAAAACACGTGAACTTTCATAGTTTAGCCTTTCTTAAACTTTTTTTTTATTATGGAAACTTTCTAACACATATCAACCTCTGTATTTATATTTAATCAGTGGCTCATTATATTTATAATACGCCCTTAACTAAGTGGAATGGTGGTATGTTTCACAGTACTTGGTAAAAAAACCTGTGTCTTATAAAAGATGTATCTGTATGAAGATGTGTAGAGTTTATAATATTGGTCAGAGAAATGCCCACAGTGAATTAAAGCTTCATATCTGCTTTCTGAATGCCTGTGTTGCTTTTTAATCATAGTAAGATTTTTTTAGATGCTTTCTACAGTAGATTATATTTAACTTCAGAGTCCAGTAGATAATTAGTACTTAAAAAAAAAAAAAAACTATAGTTTACATTCAATACACTACACCGTTTTTAAATGTATACTTTGAGATTTGGTGACCACAACCCCAATAAAGAAACACAACTTTTCTATTACAGAAAACTCCCTCTAGCCCCTTTCCAGTTAATCCTTCCCCATGTAACTGTTGTTCTGACTTCCACCACCATAGGTTACTGTTGCCTATTCTAGAAATGCATATAAATGGAATCATATAACACATACTCTTTTGTGTCTGTCTGTTCAATTTTTTGAGATTCTTCTATGTTGTTCAATGTGTTGATAGTCTCTTTATTACCAAGTAACATTCCATCATATGAATATATCAATTTATCCATTGTTGATGGACATTATTAGCCCTTCCCTGTCTCCTTCTAAAGCCGACTTTCAGATTAGCAATTGTCAGGAGTACTCATGGTGAAGTGTAGCTGTAACTTTGCAAATACAATTACAGGTGAGTTTTATGTTCTATACCTCAAAGGCAGGACTTTTTTTAAAATGCCCTTGGGCACCTTGGGCAGGACATTTTTAAAAATGCCTTGGGTGGCTCAGTCAGTTAAGTGTCTGACTCTTGGTTTCTGCTCAGGTGGTGATCTCATAGTTTGTGAGTTCTAGTCCCACAATGGGCTTTAACAGTGCGGAGCCTGCTTGGAATTTTCTCCCTCTCTCTGCCCCTCCCCTGCTCGCTCTGTCAGTCTCTCTCTCAAATAAACTTAAAAAAAAATTTTTTTTTAATGTCCCATAAACAAGAGATGAAAATTTTTCATGGTGAAAAGTGTGAAGGGATTAAGGAGGGGTTCTTTGCTGTTGACCTCTCTGTACCTCTCCCACTGAGAATTCTGTTGAGTTAATTTTAAGTTCATTAAGTGATTGAATTAATGACTAAGAAAAAGGCAAATTATGTCCTGGTTTTTGATGGTCTTGGTTTATCAGTCAAAGCACATGCCTGAATATGCATTGTTATTCATTTTGTCCTTGGACCTAGCAAGAGTGTGGAGGTAAATTTATTATCCTTGGTCAGTAGTTAACATACCTTTTCCATAAATAATAACCTCAAAAGCTGAGTCCTGGACAAGCCTGGTAAATGAAGACATCTTAACAGCATCTAAACTGACTTGTTACAGCAGGCAGGTCTTTTCCTTTGTTGTTTTCAGAATTTACTTTGAGAGCCAAGCTTAATCCTACTAAATCCTTTCTGCCCAGTTCTTACAACAAAATTTATACCTTAGATGGGATCCTAACAATATACAGCATTGTTTTCTAAATAACTCTCAAGTTACAAGTCTAAGCAAATATATTAAGAATAATAAAATTCATGCATTTCATATGCCATTAATAATGGTTATCCAGGGGCGCCTGGGTGGCGCAGTCGGTTAAGCATCCGACTTCAGCCAGGTCACGATCTCGCGGTCCGTGAGTTCGAGCCCCGCATCAGGCTCTGGGCTGATGGCTCAGAGCCTGGAGCCTGTTTCCGATTCTGTGTCTCCCTCTCTCTCTGCCCCTCCCCCGTTCATGCTCTGTCTCTCTCTGTCCCAAAAATAAATAAACGTTGAAAAAAAAATTTTTTTTTTAAATTTAAAAAAATATAATGGTTATCCAATGCACATATTTTAAGGGCCACACAATTTAGGCTCGATTATTTAACCAATATTTAGGTTCATAAAATGTGCACATACTTGTTTCTAAATTGTTTTAATAATTTTTGAACTTTAAGATTTTCAGTTTTTTAAGGGCAGGGCCCATTGGTTTTGTTGGCTCGTTGAGCCCAACACAATATGAATATAAAGTGGATGTTCAGCATTCACTTTACATTGGTGATACACAATCAAAACTTTAAGTTGAAGTTCTCTTCTTCAATTCATCAGAAGTTAACTTCTCAGATACAGAGAAATAATTTTTTTCCTGTAGTTATAGTTTCATTTTATACTTAAGATTCAATGATTTCTAAAACTCCATCTAGTTTCTTTTTGCAAAGAACTGAACGAAAGAAAGTGCCAGTAATACAAATTGGCCCCTCACAGGTTTGGTTCCCCAGGGGAGGTGGCTTCTGTATTCATTAGGAGAGAACTCAAAGTCTCAGTTTGTCAAGTGAGTCAGTTGGACCCAAAAAGTTCATTCAGATCCCCCATTACTTTGCTACATGTTCTCCATCCAACGCTTGACCCCTGTTGCTCCATAGGCACAGAATGGGAGAAGGGTTCCTGTGAGGGCCCACCAAGAACTGTAGCTGCTATTTGAAAGTGTTGGGCACCAAGCCCCAAAAGGACCAATTATTTCTTCTTAGTTCACCTTACTACCCCATGGGGTGGTGGGAAGAGAAGGTTTAAGGGTCACACTTCCCTGTTTTTCTAAATCACACCCAATTCACTGCCTTGTCTGCTACATACACTCGATCAAACTGTACAACCTAATTTTCCTCCAGTGCAAGGAGTTTAGTGAGCACATTCAGCCTTTCAGAAACGTCAAACCTTGGGCACTGAGCAAAACCAAGCAGCCAGGGAGAGTCAGAGAAGTGAGATTTTATCTCACCTGTGAGGATTACTCAGTTTGTCTCCTTGAAGGACAGGAACTGTAATTGGCTGGCAGTGTTGACTAGGAGGCCAGCCTTCTTCAAAGAAAGCTGAGAAGAATGGGAAACCTGACAAGACACCTGAGAGGGAAGGGAAAAAAAAGGGGGGGGGGGTGGAGAGAATGGTGTCAGCAATCTCAGTAGTGATTAGAGGTGGTAATGGGGGCAGGGAACATCAGATCCTCTGACACCTTGGACCAGTGACAGGGACAAAAGAAAACAGAGGAAAGGCAGCAGTGAGCTGAATAGAGGTAAGCTAAAGATTTTAAACATTTTTGAGGCTTTATGAAATTTTTATACTAGGACAGCGGCAGTTGGAATGCAAAACAGTTGCCATTAGCATGGCCATTTTGTCTCAGCTCATTGGAAAAGACAGAAAAAGGAAAGTCTTTGAAACTGACCTTATGCAAAGGGATCTGTGCTGCCTAGATGGGCAGTTTTCTCAAAACAACTTTGTTTAGAGGTATTATTCCTTGCTCTAAACCTGGGCACAGGTTAAACAGCCTAATTTAGCCTGATGAAAAGACTGGATCATTGAGTCCTGATGGCAGGAGAAACAGAGCTGTGAGACCGAGCAGACCAGAGAGAGCACATTCTTAGAGCACCGCTTGGGATCTTGCGTCAGATCCTTGTGGCTCTTTATTAGGCTAAGAGGACATCAGGTATAACCAGAAAGTTCACTGACCTTGCAGCTGTAATAGTAACAGTAACCAAAACTACTGTTAATTGAGCACTTATTATGTGTCTATGTGTCAGGTCATGTGGAAAGCACACTATGTACATTTTCTTATTTAATTCTTGTGCCGGCTAGTCTCTTTGGCCTCTTAGCCTCTAAGCTGTCACGCCGCCTGGCCTCTCCATATAACCAGAATGATCTCTTCAGAATTGAGAAGACCTGAGGACTATTGAGTGGCCATAAGCAAGTGACCCCTTGAGAAGCAGAGGCAAAGATCCTCAGAAAAAGCAAAGACTGATGTATCCCAGCAGTTAGTCTAGCACATAAGGAATGGGGCCACCCACAGACGGAGTATGCCAAGCAAAGGTATAAACAAAATTGTTTTACAGGTTAGAACCAGAGGTGTCTCTCACTTCACAGTGCATTGCAGCGTCCAGGTTGCAGTTCCTTAGCTCCTCAGTTTATTTGTTGAAATATTCACTGAAATCTACTACAGAAATCTAGGCACTGAGGATAGGCATTGAGGGTAAAAGGTCGAATCTGCCTTCGAGGAGCTAGCTCACAGTTTGCTTGGGAAGATGCATGTGTACAACAATAACTACCCCGAAGTAAGAATGGTTCCAAAACTGTAAAACAAGTAAAAATTCCAACAACAATCCAGAAAAGAGAGTAATTAACCCTGTCCTGGTGTGCCCCAGGTACAAGGCAGGCCTTGGAGAGTCAGGGAAATTTCATTAGAAAGGACGATGCTTGAGCAGAGATTTGAAGGGTGAAAAGAAGTTTGCTAGGCAGAAAAGGACCTGGAATGACATTCCTGGAAGAAGAAGAGCACGCGGCAAGGCACAGAAACATGAAATCATACTATCTGTCTGAAGATCTCTGAGGACTGTTGGTATGACTAGAACATTCAGTGTGAGGGAGGACCATGGCGGGAGAAGAAGCAGAAAGATAAGAGTGTCAGGAAAAAAGCTGTCGGTAGATACACAGTGACTGCAGCATCCTTTCAACCAGTGTATGTTTAAAGACAGAACTACTTGGGAAGGCAGATAGTGGCCAAGGGCTGCAAGTGTTGGTGGCAGCAGCAGTAAGAGGAAGTACAAGACAAGGGCAGCAGAGCCATGCCAGGCTGAAATCTGGCTTCTAGCCACTTGTAGGTGGGTGACTTGACTAATTCTAAATCAGGTAAGATGGGTGGTTAAGCAAGAGAACACCTGTGTCATTTCCATGTTGCCGTCAGTCATTCAGTGTCTATAGTGACATTTTGTAACCTGGTATGCAAACTTACTTTACGTTGAGTTTAAACCGTTCTACTTTTATTTCTCTCAATTTCTTGGTTGACATAGTACAGGGTCACTGAATTCTACTCAGGTTTGGGGCAACTTGACAACTGAATGTGGGTGACCTAAACAGTGTCTCTTCAGAGTCTTGGACCATTATATCTGGATTGAAATGCCAGCCACTCGTTGGTTCTGTCCAATCTAGCAAATGTTTACTGCCTTTCTTCCTTTTCCTTGTGTAGGATACTTGGTATATTTGGTAACCTGCCTCTACGATGGCTCCCAGTGATCCCTGCCTCCAACTATTGGTTTGTGTGACCAACAGAACACAGCACAGATGCAATGTGATGTCCCTCCTGAAATTAGGTTATAAAAGGCACTGAAGCTTCTGTCTTGTCATTCTCACTCTCTTTCTTTTAGATCACTCACTGCAAGGAGCCATGATGAGAAAGCCTTGTAGAGAGAGGGCTGTGTGGAAAGATACTGAAGCCTCTTGCCAACAGTCATATGAGTGAACCTGAGAGCAGATTCTGCCGCCCGCAGTCAAGTCTCCAAAGGCTACAACCCTGGCTCACAGCACGACTACAACCTCCCGAAAGACCCTGGGTTAGAACTGCTGCTCTCAAATTCCAAACCCTCAGAAACTGCATGAAATAACTGTTCAAGGACACCTGGTTGGCTCAGTCGGTTAAGCATCTGACTTTGGCTCGGGTCATGATCTCATGGCTTGTGGGTTCGAGCCCCGGGTCTCTGTATTGACAGCTCGGAGCCCGGAGCCTGCTTAGGATTCTGTGTCTCTTTCTCTCTCTGCCCCTCGCCCACTCATGCGCACTCTCTCTCTCCCTCTCTCTCTCAAAAATAAATAAACATTGAAAACAATTTTTTAAAAAAGAAATAACTGTTCATTGTTTCAGACACTAAGATTTGAAGTAATTTGTTATACTCTTGAGAATCATACATTTAGTCACACAGACACTGCTCACTCAGCTTTTCCCTGAAAAGGCGATGTCTCCAACTTGGATATTTTCTGGTAAACAAGATGTGCAATGACCAAAGATGTCATATGTTTAAAAGTCACTTGGGCAAATACATACATACATACATACATACAAAAAAAGGAGCTATATCTACATGCAGTCTTATGAAAAGATTTCTGAGATATAATGAGTGAAAAAATTCAAGTTCTGTAATATGATCCCATTTATGTTTGATTATTTTAAGCCTAATTAAAAATAAATTTAAAGCTTTATTTCTATCATAGACAACTATCTTTTGATCTTTTGATATGCATCTGTGCATTTAAAATAAAGTCAGGGGGCGCCTGGGTGGCGCAGTCGGTTAAGCGTCCAACTTCAGCCAGGTCACGATCTTGCGGTCCGTGAGTTCGAGCCCCGCGTCGGGCTCTGGGCTGATGGCTCGGAGCCTGGAGCCTGTTTCCGATTCTGTGTCTCCCTCTCTCTCTGCCCCTCCCCCGTTCATGCTCTATCTCTCTCTGTCCCAAAAATAAATAAACATTGAAAAAAAAATTTTAAAAAAATAAAATAAAGTCAGATTGTACATTGATTTGTAGCCTGTTTGTCTACTTAATAATATATGACATATCTTTTTAGATATCCCATTTTTGTGAATTGGAAGGATTGATGTTAAAATGGCCATACCACCCAAAGCAATCTACAGATTAATGTAATCCCTATCAAAATTCCAATGACATTTTGTCTAGAAGTAGAAAAAGAACTATCTCCAAATTGTTATGGAACCACAAAAGACCCACAAAGCCAAAGCAGTCTTGAGCGAGAACAAAGCTGGAGGCATCACGCTTCCTGATTTCAATATGTATTACAAAGCTAGTAAGCAGAACAGTACTGTACTGAACTAAAAACGTGAGCTAATGAAACAGAATAGAGAGGCCAGAAATAAATCCATGCATATACAGCCAACTGATCTTCAACGAGGGTGCCAAGAACACACAATATAGAAAAGATAGTCTCTTCGATAAATGGTGATGGGAAAATTGGATATCTACATGTGGAAAATGAAATTGGACCCTGTCTCACAACATATGCAAAAATCCACTAAAAATTGATAAAAAACTTAAGCGGATAACCTGGAACTAGGAAAGTGCTAGAAGAAAACATGGGGAAAAGCTTTTCTTGACATCGGTCTGAGCAATGATTTTTTTTGGATATATGTTGCCAAAAGTACAAGCAACAGAAGCAAAAACAGACATATGGGATTGCATCAAACTGAAAAGCTCTGCACAGCGAAAGAAACAATCATCAGGGTGAAGACACAATCTACAGAATTGGAGACAGTACTTTCAAACCATGTGTCTGATAAGGGGTAATATCCAAAATTATAAGGAACTCAATAGAAAAAAACAAATAACTTTGTTAAAAATAGGCAAAGGACCCAAATAGACATTTCTTAACAGAAAACATATAACAGGCCAACAGTATATGAAAAGGTGCTCAACATCACTAGTCATCAGGGAAATACAAATCAAAACCGCAAGATATCATCTCACACCTGTTAGAATGGATATTATCAAAAAGACAACTGTTGGCAAGGATGTAGAGAAACGGGAACTCTGTATACTGTTGGTGGGAATGTCAATTGGTGAGGCCAATACGGAAAATAGTATGGAGTTTCCTCAAAGAATTAAAAATGGAACTACCATACGATCCAAGCAATCCCACTTGTAAGTATATATCTAAAGGAAGTAAAATCGGGATCCCAAAGAGAGATCTACATTCCCATAACTGTCATACCATTATTCACAATAGCCACGATATGGAAACAACTTAAGTGTCCATTGACAGATAAATGGAGAAAGAAAATGTCACACACACACACACACACATACACACGAAAGGAAATTCTGCCATTTGCAGTAACATGGAAGAACCTGGAGGACGTTAGGCTAGATAAAATAAGCCGGATACAGAAAGGCAAATACCGAATAGTTTCCTATGTGAAATCTAAAAAAGTCAAACTCCTAAGAGCAAAGAGTAGAATTGTGGTTGCCAAGTCTAAGGAGTAGAGAAAATAGGGAGATGTTGGTCAAAGGGTACAAGGTTTCAGTTCTGCAGAATGAATAAATTCTGATAATCTAATATAGAGCATGGTGACTATGGTTAATAATACTGTACTGTATACTTGAAATGTGTTGAGAGTAGATCTTAAGTGTTCTCACTGCAAAAAAAAAAAAGCTTAACTATGTGAAGTAAGGGATGTGTTAATTAGCTTGATTGTGATGATCATTTCACAACGTGTGCATATACCAAATCATTATTTTGTAGACCTTAAGTATAAAAGTAAAATAAAATTAACATATGACAAATATCTTTTTTAAATAATCACATAGTAATCTATCTTTTGGACATGCCAAAATATATGTAACCGATGTCTCAATTTTTTTGTTTTTTTTCTTTTTCTTTTTAATGTTTATTTATTTGTGAGACAGACAGAGTGTGAGCGGGGGAGGGGCAGAGAGAGAGGGAGACACAGAATCCGAAGCAGGCTCCAGGCTCTGAGCGGTCAGCACAGAGCCCAACACGGGGCTCAAACTCACCAACCGTGAGATCATGACCTGAGCCGAAGTCAGATGCTTAACCAACTGAGCCACCCAGGTGCCCCTCTATTTTTTTTTCTATCACAAATAACAGACTAATATTTAGTTGTCTGGTTTCTTTTTTACTGCACTAATTTCCATATTTAAAAGAATAGTAATTTAAGTGGTTAGACTTGGACTAGTTTTCGTTCTTTTTACTCCACCTTTGACTTTGTAACAGGGAGAATTTCCACTCCTTAGTGGAAGTTTGTAGAACGTGACTGTGATACTGCTTTACAGAGTCCTTGAAATAGGTTATTATTTTACAAACAAAAACTACCCGCTTGAGATCGTCCCTGATCTTGGCTAGTTCACTTCCCACTTCTCTGCTTCCTGGCCCACTGAGGCCCCAACCCCACCCCACTTTCACCCTATCTCTCTAGCCCACATCCTTTCTGGTCTCTGGTCAGAGGAGCAAGCTGGCCATCACATCACATGCTTCATAATGGTTCTAGGCTGTCATACATCACTGCCCACAGCTTTGCCAGCACTGGTTCAGCTGAGAAGAGGTCTAACTCCAGAGTTAGCTGTACCACAAAATCCTCGGGAGGTAAGTAACCATGACCAACTGATTCTTTTTGGCTTCCGACTTCTCTGGCTCCCACCCTAACTTGAACTGTATTTTCCCTCTGTGCTGAAATATCAAATGCAAGTACCAGAAGGGCAATTCCTGCATGGTGTCAGGAGGAGCTTCTCAGACCAGTGAAACAACTGTAACTTTAAAAAAAAGTCTCTGGAGATTGTCCTGAAGGCAGATAAAAGAAAAACGTTTATCATTTACTTAAGAAAATCTAATAAATCTCACTGAGAACAGTGAGATTCTATGGCACTTAAGCTATGAACTGCTCCCTGCCTCTCCCTACCCCCAGCTCGGTGTGACAGGTACTCCACTCCAGTTCGGAGTCGCCAAGACCGTGGGGTTCCCTCCTATTGTGCTGGCCACCAGCCAAGGACTGTGGTATCCCTCCTGGAGTGCAGGCTGTCTGCATTTCCTATCCTCCTCAGCTCTGTGTTGCAGGGGCTAAATTCCAGGTGAGTACAACCAAGGGATTGGGGGCTCCCTTCCTTCACCCAGCCCTCACTCCTGAGACATAGGCTCTACCCTAGACTTGGCAGGTCAAGAATATTGGGCCCCGGGACACCTGGGAGGCTCAGTTGGTTGAATGTCTGACTCTTGCTTTAGGCTCAGGACATGATCTGGGGGCGTAGGATCGAGCCCCAGTCCGGCTCTACGCTGAGTGTGGAGCCGGCTTAAGATTCTCTCCCTGTCTCTCTCTCTCTCTCTTTCTTTCTCTCCCTCCCCTCCCTCTGCCTCTCTCCCCTGCTCGCACTTGCTGTCTCTCTAAAATAAAATATTTAAGGGGCGCCTGGGTGGCGCAGTCGGTTGGTTAAGCGTCCGACTTCAGCCAGGTCACGATCTCGCGGTCCGTGAGTTCGAGCCCCGCATCAGGCTCTGGGCTGATGGCTCAGAGCCTGGAGCCTGTTTCCGATTCTGTGTCTCCCTCTCTCTCTGACCCTCCCCCGTTCATGCTCTGTCTCTCTCTGTCCCAAAAATAAATAAACGTTGAAAAAAAAATAAAATAAAATATTTAAAAATATTAAAAAATAAAACAATATTGGACCCCCATTGCCCTTGCTCTAGCTTCCTAATAGGTCAAAGTCTCTAGAAGACCAGAAGCTACGGCTCTTGGCCATCGCTGATTTTCAGCAAGGGTTCCCAGACAATTCGGTGTCTTTTCAACAAATGGTGCTTGTACAACTGTAGAGCCACATGCAATGCAATGCAATTGGATGCCTTCCTTACACACTGTACACCCAAATTAACTCAACATGGAACATAAATCTTAATGTAAGAAAATATTTGCAAAGCCTACATCTGATAAGTGACTTGTATCCAGAGTATATAAAGAATCCCACTCCTGGGGCGCCTGGGTGGCTCAGTCGGTTAGGCGGCCGACTTTGGCTCAGGTGATGATCTCGCGGTCCGTGAGTTCTAGCCCCGCGTTGGGCTCTGTGCAGACAGCTCAGAGCCTGGAGCCTGCTTCATATTCTGTGTCTCCCTCTCTCTGACCCTCCCCTGTTCATGCTCTGTCTCTCCCTGTCTCAAAAATAAATAAATGTTAAAAAAAAAAAATCCCACGCCTAAGTATATACCCAAGATAAATGAAAATATATGTCACACAAAAACTTGTACATAAATGTTCACAGCATTTATAATAACCAAAAAGTAGAAATGACAGAAATGTCTATCAACTGATGAACGGATAAATTAAATGTGGCATACCCATACAATAGAATATCATTTGACAGGGTGCCTGGGTGGCTCAGTCAGTTAGGTGTCCAACTTCGGCTCAGGTCATGATCTTGTGGCTTGTGAGTTCGAGCCCCGCGTTGGGCTTTGTGCTGACAGCTCAGAGCCCAGAGCCTGCTTCGGAATCTGTGTCTCCTTCTCTGTCTGCCTCTCCCCCACTTGTGCACGCTCTCTCTCTCTCTCTCTCTCTCTCTCTCTCTCAAAAATAAATAAATAAACATTAAAAACCAATTAAAAAAAAGGATATCATTTGACAATAAAAAAAAGAATGAAGTGTGTGTGTGTGTGTGTGTGTGTGTGTGTGTGTGTGTATGAAACTTGAAAACGTTACACTAAGTTAAAGAAGCCAGTTACAAAAGGCCATATATTGTATGGTTCTATTTCTATGAAGTGTCCAGAATAGGGAAACCTATAGAGACAGTGGATTAATGATTGGCTAGGTGTGGGGAGAGGGTTAGGGGGAACCGAAGTGTGACTGCTAACGGGTAAGGGTTACTTGGGGGTGGTGCGGGTGAAGAAGATGGTCTTAAATTGATGGTTGCACAGTGCTGAATATACTACAAGACACTGAATTGTATATTTTAAGTGGGTGAATTGTATGGTATTATGAATCGTATCTTAATAAATGTGTTATATTAAAAAAGTACTAGTCTTCTAGAAAGAGGATAGCTAAAAGACACTCTGAAATTGAAAAAGCACAGAAGTGAAAATGTGTCCTTCTCCCCCCATCTCTGCCTTCAAACAGAAGGTTCTGTTTTCTTTGAGTCAAAAGCACATACTGAAATACTTAGAAAATGGAATATTCATTTCTTTTACATGGCTGGTTTCTTCCTCTCATTACCCACCTTGAGAATGGTATCTTTTCCTCTTTGCTGCTGATATAACAGGGTCAACAGGCTGATTAGTTTCTTTGTGTTCCCCTCTATGAACACTTGAAAATCATCTATTTCCATGAAGCCCTTTCAACAAACTCTATGCTACATTAGAACAGCTTCCGGCAGACAGGTGATATGATCTTGTTTTGTTGTTTGAAACTTTTTACATATTGAATTTGAGGCTATTCACATCTTCGTTTCAACAGCAGCATTTTCGAGAGATCGTATAGACATGCACATCTGGTTTATTTGCTATGCAGTTTCTACCTCTTTTGACTGTCACTTTTTAAACTCTTGGAATTCATCTCTTACAGTAGAGTTTTATATTCACTGTGATTATAGTCTTGGAAAGCCGCCTCACATAAAAATTCTTAATTTCAATTGAGTAATAAAAAAGTGGGATGTATTCTTCTGCTATAATTTGTTGATTATGAAGAAGTTGGTGCATGATTGGTCTGGAGTGGCAAAGACAGCACTTGAAACAGTCGAAGAGAATGAGTCCATTTTCCTCAATTTAACCTGCTCACAAAAGGGCATTACCTTAAAGAGAGCCTCATTACCTTGTCTGGAGGATACTTGTAGTCACAAGGCACTCAGTGTAGTCTCAGAGTGGATTCATTTTCTGAGATATTTCTGTCTGACTCACATCTCTAAAAATTTCACATAATCAAGGTCATAACGCATGGTTTACCTTTAAACCCTCTGCCCTCAACTCTTGTCTAACACCCAGTAAATCCTAGGGACCTTGCTCTCTCCTCCCCTGCTCACCATGGTCCCTCCCTTTTGCCTCTCCTTGAGTGAGTCTGATCCAACACCCTCTCTCCCCTGTCTTGCCCCCGCTATGCAGCTGGAAGCAAAGGAAGAGGCTAACAGAATGGAATCCCCAAAGGATTTTGTCCAGTTGCCTTTCAGCCACATCAAGCTTCTGAGGTTTGGGGTTTTATCTTTGTGTGTGTGTGTGTGTGTGTGTGTGTGTGTGTGTGTGTTTAATTGGGGCTTATAAAAAGTCTTTAAAAAGTATGTTATTGTCCTTTGACAAATTATCTTCTTTCTATGGACAGTGGCTGGGTTTTCCTTGCCAATGCTCCCTTGCTCGATTCCTCATTTGCATGTGAGACAGCGCATCGTTGCATTACCCTTTCCTCCTTCACATTCATTTGTATCGCTTCCCTTTCTGAGGAAGAGGACTGCCCCCCACCTCCCATTTCAAGCTCTCTGACCCCGGGGACCATAGGCAGCCATGCCCACTTGGCGGGGGGGGGGGGGGCGAAGGGGCAGCTGCTTCCTGACTTTGCTCCCGCTGCTCCAGGACTTGAGCCTGAGTGGAAGTTATTAACTCAGAAAGACGGTGCTTCTCTTCGCTTGCCGGCCTCTAGGTCGGGCACACAGTAGGAGCTCTGGAGAGATGATCTGGGTCTATATGTAACTCATCTGGGGTCTGCTGTGTGAGCAGCCCTTACAACAGCAGGGAGGGTAACATAGGGACAGGCTGGCTACCATCACAAAAGTTGGGTACAAAGTTTATATTTGGTCACTTTATAAGGCAGTTCGAACTAAGTTCACTGGGTCTGACATCGCTGTCCTAAATCCAGTCTGTTCTCCATTTAGGGTCACCTCTGTCCGTGTCCTAAAGAGGAAGTCTTTCCCTGTCTTGGCTCGCTTAAATTCCTTCAGGTACTAAAGAAACTTACTTGCTGCTGAAAGAAATGATTTCCCTCCTCTCATGGCAAACGGAGCTTAACCTCCCTTAGCGACCAAGAAATTGAGCTCCCTGTTCAGGAGAAGAGGCGGCCAAGGCTGGGAGGCTGCTGCCAGAATCTACCTCCTGCTTCTTTTGTATTTGATCATTGTCTAAAACCCAGAGGGAGACAAAGGGTACTTCCCACTGTCTCTCCACAAAAGATGCCGCATTGCCTCATTAGTATTTGTGAACACCAAACACACAACCGTGGTCAACCACCCTGATGATATCAGAAAGTCCCAGGGTAGCCTGGACAGTGGAGAGCAAGTCAGCACAGCGTGCAGTTTAAAAATATGGTGCTCTCAAAAATAAATATAGACACTAAAGGAAAATGGTATTAGGTTTAAGTTGTGGTATAAAAATACATGTTACGTAAGATGCTAACATTCATGCTCAATCCTTTTCTGTCAGGACACCGTTCCCTGGTTCTTTCTGACTCAAAAAGAGGTGTTATTTAAGAAAGTGGAAGGTATACCCTCCGAAGAGAAGAAACAGGAGCAAGGGACACGCAGCCTCTGGAGGGCTTCTCAAGTGCGGTACACGTGAACTCCTTGCCATTAAAGGGGCTCTTTTCCTGACTGGTTTTTCTTCTGGACAGCAGCTTCTGCAGCATTCAGAAAGTTACAAAACAAGTCCTTGGACTCGGCCGATCGTTCAGCATGTATTTTTTTTTTTAATTTTTTTTTCAATGTTTATTTATTTTGGGGACAGAGAGAGACAGAGCATGAACGGGGGAGGGTCAGAGAGAGAGGGAGACACAGAATCGGAAACAGGCTCCAGGCTCTGAGCCATCAGCCCAGAGCCTGACGCGGGGCTCGAACTCACGGACCGTGAGATCGTGACCTGGCTGAAGTCGGACGCTTAACCGACTGCGCCACCCAGTCG